CGTTTTAGATTTACTGGCAAAAAACAAATTCCTCGATTTTCGGCTTTTCGCTGATATTTTCAAAACCAGTTGACCGATCGTAAATTTGAAACCGACTATCGAAAGCACCAGGTTTGCTCTAAAACTTTCCCCTCCTAACAGGAGCCGAGATCACTGTACATAGAATAGAATATGGGACACACTGTATACTATATAAGATCAGTGCGCTCTTTCTAGGCTGGCTAGAGCCGTTTTGAATCATATGGGCACCAGAAATTATTTAATTTATGTCATGATTTATATCATGTGATTCTTTTCTGGAAGTAGCTCGTCTCAAGCTAGCCATACGTCCCTCTCTCTCTCTCTCTCTCTCTCTCTCTGCCTCTCTCTCTCTCTCTGTCTCTCTCTCTCTCTGTCTCTCTCTCTCTCTCTCTGTCTCTCTCTCTCTCTGTCTCTCTCTCTCTCTGTCTCTCTCTCTCTCTGTCTCTCTCTCTCATCATATACCACATATGATCAATAATCTGGATCTAAAAGGCCAAAGAAGGAGGCTGACTGAAGTCCTATTGAGGTAGCGCTTACAATATGGTCACAGGATGATCCTAAGTTTCTATATATCGGGAATTTTGTCTCTAAGGCCCAGTTTTTCAATTGCAGGTTAACTGAGATGTTAAAGCTAACCAGAAGTAAAGTCTTAAAATGTATATTTCAGTGTGAGGTTTGTCCTAAAATGGTGGGTGACTAGCCAGAAGACCATCTGCTAGTAACTAGGAGATGGTTAACTAGAAAATTTTAGTTACACCACAACTCATATCGTTTTTTGCGTGTCAACTTCACTTTTCCTTATGGACGCCATTACCTTTGTCCTAAAATAGTACTTTAACCAGAAGACCACCTACTAGCTAACTAAACAGTTTCAGTCATACCGCAGTTCACAGTCTCTTTGCTTGACAGTGACATGATTGTCGCGGAACATACAAACATCGAGCGTCAGAAAACCCACAAAGGTATACAAGGTATAGTTACCAAACTTGAAAGTTAACCAGCGATTGAAAAACCGGACCTTAACTATAAAATGATGAATGATATAAAAATGCTTGACAAACTGCCATTACGCGTATTACCAATCAGTTATCTATTGGGTGTTTCGAATCTTTGAGAATGTTTAGACCACCCTGTTGAGTGGTGCATGCCAAGGAGTGTCTCTCTCCCCAACCCCACATTCGAATGGACTACTTAAAATATATATTCGTATCTCTCGTCCTTTTATGCTATACCCTCCTAACGAAATCTGTCTCTCGACGGATATAGGTTGATATATGATTTTTGGATCGCTGAAAAATGGTTGGAGATTGAACGTGGGGACGGGGAAACAGTGTTGCCAATATTTAGGCATAGTGAGGTGAAATAATATATTACTGTGAACAAAAATATCGTAAACTAGTTTTTGTTTGTGTGACCATGAACAGCTGTTTTGTGATATTTGGCAACTCCTCAGCAAGGTATAGGCTTGGTCTCAGTTAGGACAACGAACGCCGCCGATAAAGGATCGTTGCTCAGCTTTCGTTTGTTGTCTTACCTATATTTAGATTTCCAAGATTTATATTAATTTAATCATAGTTGAAACAATTGGCCCAGCATCTTGAAATAAGCAAACTTACATTTTTGCAAGTATTAGTTTTGAAGGTTTCGTAACATATATCATAATGAAATGTTTCTCTTAAAGACTGTATAGAGTCCCATGATGTATTTGAAGATGCACTTGATCAATATAGGATGTCCCATTTTAATCTATTTATGTAGATTATACGTAGCATCGGTCCAAGGAGACTGTTAATGTGTTAAGGCTGCTCCACACTCTCGAGGGAATCTCGCCGATAAGGCAAGAATCTCGGCGAGCACTTCTTTTGGTCCACACTCGCAAGGTTCTCAATACAGTTCTCGTGCTCGATGACGATTTACGCTGAGTTAAATGTCGTTGACACCAGCACCAGCTTTCTCCGATTTCTTGACTTTATTTTTATACCTTCTGTAGCTAGCTAATAACGAATTTTTCTTGCTTTTAATTCTCCAATGGGTAGTTCCGTCAAGGTACTAATACGTTTCCACGCTTCGTGAGCTTTTCGTTTATTTTTATGTTCTTTCTCACTGCATGGTAATACTGTCATATTAACGATATTATTATGATCGTGTAGAGAAATAGTGTTTATTTTGGGCGAAAACTCTGCATGGAATAAAATTAAAAATATGCTAAGAAATCATTGATGATTTCAAGAATAACTTTTATTTGAAGAGAATTCAATTCCGTACCATCAATGTCTGCAAAAAATAGGCAGGTGAAATTCGATAGGAACGCCACTGGTGGAAAAAATTGCGTTAAAAGTTGATACGTAGCGCATGTATACCAAATTCCATTTAAATATCTAAAGTTGTACGTACAGGCATTAATAATAATTTTTATTTTAAAAGTTAAGCCGTTTAGGGCATACTTTCTGTTTTCTGCCTAAAATGTACTCAAAAGTCGACCCCTTGGACTTTGAAATGTTACTAGAAAGTACCATATATAGAAAAGTGGACTAAGTATTGTTCCCCGCGGAACTCTAATTGTAATTTGTAGATAACATTGAACGAAAAAATAAAATTGGAGTGCATCATCCCAATAACAGGAAAGCGCCTTGCAATGAATACATACTCGTACATCCGGGGTTTTTACGAGGCCATTTTCTCCGAAAATAACCCCTCCTATCAGCAGTAAGTTCCGGGGGTGTCGAGAGGTCGCGGCGTTTCCGCCGTAAATAAAAAGGCAGTTGTTCTGGTCGTTTGAGAGGGCGGAAAAGCGACGCGTCAGAGAGCAGGAAAACGCTATGTGTTCCCCATTCCCCCATTTGCCCCCTTTTCGTACCCTTTTTGCTTGTCGGTGCCGCTGATTTGCGGTTTTATTTTCTCTGGGAAAACGACGTAGCGAACAATAAAGCGCCCGCTGCCGCAGCTATGTGCCAGTGTGCCCTGCATGAGAACGATATACATCCGATCAGGGACGGGGGCAGGGAGTTACCTTGACAAACATTACCGGAGCATAGAGTAGTTACATCAAAAGAAGATAAGACCTATGAATTAGAGAGAGATAAGGGAGGTAACCCAAAACATGGAGTCCAAAAAACAGCTGATGACGTCTTAAAACGAGCTGTTCTCATTTGGTCAGGGATAAATGCGGTATTGTCAGATAGATAGTTTTTTTATACATTCATCGCGAAAGCATTTTTCGTGTCTATATATGTATAAAGAAAAGGATCGTTGCTTAGTTTCAGTAGTATCCAAAATAGTTCTTGCTCTCATTCTTTGTCTGATACTGTTGTTACGGACATGATCAATTCGAGAAATGCCAAAACTTCTCCTCCAGTCCATCTCGAATGCAAGATCACGATGCCGTTTATTGACCTCCCTCACCTCAGCTCCATATGTGGCATTGCTCTCGACCATCGTGTTGTAGATCCTGCATTTGTTCGTTCTTGTTATGTTATTGTTCCACAGCGCAGGATTGAGCTCACGTATTACACGCATCCTGTTACGGATTTCCATCAGCTGATAAGGTCACTCTGAAATATTTTAAAGCTTTAATTCAGCTGTTTCAGCTACCTACTCATTCAAATTCACTTATGATTTATTTATGGTATTTTTCTTCCGTTTTCGGCCCACGAAATAAATTTTTCAATCAATAAAGTGATAAATCACAGAAGTTATTGTCAAAACCTGTAAGTTATCACATAGCTATTTAACTTTAATGGCGGAATATTACACGATTTAGCTTTGTACAAAAGAGTAACGTCAGCTTGAAATTCAAGACAGCGTGGACTTAAGAAGATACTTTCGTATGACTTTTTGACATAACCATCAAAAACCGTGAGCCGTTCATCTCAGCACGAATGTAGCGTTTTTCGAACATTTTATGTCAGTTTGGCAACACCGCTTCGATACATGCATAGTCGCGTATGATCGAAACGCGCGGATCCTTGGCAGAATGTTGAGTCATCTATGGGCGAATCGTCAAACCAAGGACTCATAAATCCCTGTTTCTTTTTTGTAAACCAGATATAGTCCAAGAGCCGCAACTAGGCATTTAAGAAAGAAAGAACAGCTCTGGCTGATTTCTCGGGGTGATAAAGACAATTTTATTACTATTATTAAGTTTGCTGTCTAGCAGCAAGGTACCTAAGATTTAGGTAGCATTAAAGTATTTATATATTCCTTATAACTAATCGTTGCTTCACGCATGTAGAAACGCAGTATGTAGACATTTTGATACGTAACAAACCAGACGCTATCCATTCTGGTGAAATGCACCATGCACATCCTTAATAGGCTGGATAGCAGACAACCGTTTGAGGATTCTCACTGTTCAGACGAGAACATGATCGATAAAAGTAGTATACATAGTACTTCTTAAACATGGAACAGATATTTTTGCAGTAAGTCTAATACTCCAATGGTAAGGCTATTTTGTCCAGTCATGTGCCTTTGTTTATGTTGTAGGTAGATAACATTAACTAACAGATAATGTTCTACAGACTCATATAACTATACCAATGGCAATTCAGATCCATGAGGGGATAAATGATAACCTTGGCACATATCAATAATTTCGGTACGTCTTCTTCATCCCTGGGGTAGTTAGATCGCGGTACTATACAGCTAAGGGTAATTCTTGAAATGAGGGAAATAATAATTCAAAGAAAGTGATGCTTTTCCCTTTCGAGGAACTGTAGTCCTTCTATTCAGAAAAAGGGTGGTAGTACCACTGTGTTCCATGAATTTCTTCTGTAAAAACAAAGTTAACTTTGCGATGAATCGCTTAATGTTATGAAGGATCTAGGAACAAATTATTTTCCCGAAAATGGACACGTTCACTAAAGTGTTCAACAAATGTCAGCAGCTGTCAGAATTTGAGAGGGAGCATTTCCCACAAACATTCAACACTAGATGTTTATTCTACTTGTGTATTTACTAATTTATATTTTCTTTGTTCTAGGTAAGTCCAAGTGCTAGCATGGGTTCTAGAGAACTGGTGAGTTTTCCATTGTATTGGCATTATATGATCATTACAATTAGAATTCCATTAGAAATAGTTACTCGGAATTTCAATTTAATTATGAATGACGAATCGAATGCATCTCAAAGCTGCATAAATATTTTCGGTCCGCTACTCCTCAGCATCTAACAAGTAGTATGAAAGACATCTACGAGTAGAAGAAAATAGGAATTCAATGTAATATTGCTCTGCGGACCGAGCCAAAATAATTAACAATGATTTTCTGTTACTTTTTCTGCTTGAATATTTTAAGAAAATACCAAGACCGTTCAAATAAGGTTTTAGTCTTGGAATGAAAAATAAACAAGTCCAACTTATAATTATAATGGTCTAAAGGCACTGAAAATAACGGGCTTATAGCATCTATGAAATTTTTAGATTTTCCTTTTTATCTCAGAACTTGATAGTTCTTTAAAAGTCCAATGTTCGCAATTTTCTCATTTTTCTCTTCAAAATTACACTTATTATATTTTTATATGAGCGCATAGTCGCACCACTTTCTACTTCAAATCTATAATGAAACGCATTAACACACAAAACATATATATATATATATATATAGGTAAAAAATTAAAGCTTCCGCCTTTTGTTGGGTACTTCGACAAAATTTAAGCAAAAAGGACTCTATACTTTTTTAATTCTCTCTAGCTTTCAATGGACTTTGCCATCATCAGGAGCTGCAATTACAATGATAACAGTAGCAACAAAAGTGTAAAATGAATTTAAATTGATTCAACTTACAGTAGTATGTGAGGATGTTGCTAATTGTTGTTTACGTATAGGATGAGGGAAACGTCCAGTAACATGGTGAGAGCTGGATACATGGTACAATGGTCAAAATTATATAAAATATGACAAGACAAGTTAAAAACAGATTAAAAATTATTTAATAAACATTAGAGTATTACGTCGTGAAGCCACTTGATGATTGCACAAAATGGTGGTCATGCAATAATGAGTGAGACGAACCTTTGACAGATGTACAAGAACTATTAATAAACACTGGAATGAGATCAGTCAACACTGCAACATATCTCTAGAATCTTTCACCGACATTATAACATTCCTTTTTCATAACAATTATTTCTCTTTCAAGAACAATATATATTCTCAAACACATAGTTGTCCTATGGGATCTGTTCTATCACCAATTTTGGCAGAATATGTCATGGATGATCTGCTTGACACTGTTATTCCGACACTACCCTATAACCTCTTCTTCATAAAAAATACGTAGATGACATTATTTTATGCCTCCCCTCCATAGGTCTGGATGGTATTGTCAGAGAATTCAACAGCTATGACCCCTACATCCAATTTACCATTGAAAAAGAAGATGAGAACCTGTCTGTCCCCTTTCTAGACACAAGACTCATCCGCACCAACACCAACAATTTATTGGTAGATTGGTACCAGAAACCTATGGCCTCAGGTCGGTTCCTCAATTTTAGGTCATACCATAAGCTAGGGATTAAAATCAATTTGGTAAAACAGATGAAAACAAAGGTAATCAGCATCTCAGATAATACTTTCCACACCTCAAATTTACGTAAACCATCAAAACTGTTCATCAATAATGGTTATCCGAAGTGTCTGATTAACAAGATCTTATTTAGTTCACCTTCCAATATTTTGCCGAACTCTGGTGATGCAGGTAATAGTCGCACAACCCCTAATAATAACGGAACTGATGTAATTCCCAATAATAGCATCAATCCAAACAGTACAAGCACCAACCCAGACTCCAGACCTGGTTTTGCTGTCCTGCCCTATATCAAGGAACTGACCCCTAAGCTGATCAGATTGTGCAGTCCTTTGAACTTTCGAATTGCTTGCAAATCCGTCCTCACTATAAACTGCATTTTTTCAAAAATGAAAGACAAAGTCCCACTGCTTGGCTTAACCAACACAGTCTACTCCATCAATTGCAACAACTGCAACCAAATATACATAGGTCAGACCTCCAGATCTCTTAAAGGAAGGATTACATCACACAAAAGTGATGCTAGGCTTCATCCTGAAAGATGCGCTCTAGCATCTCATGTTAACACAACAGGGCATTCTATGAATTACACAAGTATCAAAGTTCTTGCTAAAGAAAAACACCTTTCCAAACGTTTATTCCTGGAAATGTCCCACATTTTCATGAATAACAACTGTATCAACGAAAAGGTAGATGTTAAACAACTGAGTATCATTTACTCATATTTGCTAAACTGCGAAAAATTAGAGAACTTACATATCTCCCCAAATTTCGACTTTTCACAACCATAAATATAATCTGTGTTTTGGTCGATTCGACCAACAAATTTCATTCCACTCAAAATCTAATAATTTTCTTCTCACGATTTATTAATAATTGTTAATTTAAAATTCCCATTAATTAAAATATAGTTTATTCAACTGCCTCTAGTCGGTTTAACAATTTCTTACATAACATTCTGAAAATCACATCATCTGAAGTGATTTGGCAACGTTTTGGCACACGCCCACAATTCGTTCCATCTTTCAACACAGACATTGACAACCTTCGGCCTTCTGTCAAAAGTTCATCTCACTCATTATTCCATGGCCACCATTTTGTGCAATCATCAAGTGGCTTCACGACGTAATGCTCTAATGTTTTTTAAATAATTTTTAATCTGTTTTTAACTTGTCTTGTCATATTTTATATCATTTTGTCCATTGTACCATGTATCCAGCTCTCACCATGTTACTGGACGTTTCCCTCATCCTATACGTAAACAACAATTAGCAACATCCTCACATACTACTGTAAGTTGAATCAATTTAAATTCATTTTACACTTTTGTTGCTACTGTTATCATTGTAATTGCAGCTCCTGATGATGATGGCAAAGTCCATTGAAAGCTAGAGAGAATTAAAAAAAGTATAAATAGTCCTCTTTGCTTAAATTTTGTCGAAGTACCCAACAAAAGGCGGAAGCTTTAATTTTTCACCTAACTGGTCTAGACGCCAATGACCACGTCTCAAGTTATATATATATATATATATATATATATATATATATATATATATATATATATTTAAAAATAAATTACTAAAAAAACTGAATAGGGTACATAGCATTAATTTTACCTTTTATTAATATTATGTATTGCTCTTTTTTTTGGTAAATAATAATACGTTCAAAGTATAATTTACAGGAAATAAAAAAACTGAATGTGACCCTGGAATTTTGAGTTCCCAAAACGTGTTTAGTTTAATTTTAATTATTAACCTGTAAAATTTTGATGAAACCAACCCTTGAAAATTTTGGTTTTATGTCACAAAATTGCTAAAATATTTGAATAAATAAAAACCAAAATAAGCGCAATTTTTTGTACATAGGCAAATATTTCAGTATTCAAATTAAAAGGTGTTGATTTTGATAAATACAAAAAGTGAAAAAAAAACGAGACCAGCACTGAATTTTCAAACATCTCCTCTAGCTTTAAGTTACACATTGTTGTCGTGCAAAATTTCAATAAAATCCGTTTAATAGTGTCTGCGATTTGAGTTGTTTGAATAAATCACATTATTTAGAACGTTTTATTTTTAGATATGACACCGTCTCGGTCCATATTATCAACAGTTTCATTATGTGCATTTAAGTTCTTAGCACGCTGCATATATTGAAAACATGCATTCTATTTCAGCTTATCGGTTGACCCTCGTATTGAAAATCCTATCCACCTACGAATCCTACATTGAAATTATAATCTACTCCGCGATCCTATCTCGCCGCAAAATTCCATCGGAATTAATTTCCAGATGAGTTTTATTAATTGGAAGTGGAGGATCGAATGGTGAGAAAGAGCAAAGGGAGTGGGGGGGATGTTAGAGGGGTGTCAACCCCAAACGGTGTCACCCGGAGTCAGCGCCGGGCTAATTCGTTTTAATACCAATTTAAAGTCCCTCTCAATTTCGCCTCGACGAAAGTCCAAATTAGAATTAATGGCGAACAACGGATGCCGCCGGCGAAGAAATAATCGGAGTGGGTTGTGAAAAATCGCAGGACCGTTTCAGCATTCTAATCAATTTGGAAAACGGAACGCTTCCAAGGCGAAAAAGCGTAAGAAATGAATTATCGGAATTGAGCGTAGGAATGGGAGGTATTTGACAGTAGACCGTCGGCGATCTAACGCTTTTCTACCGCTACGCCAATGGGCTTTGCTCCTCAGAAGTTTACTCAATGATGTGCCTGCCAGACAGACACACCGTGTCGAATTTCGTACATCCAGAACTGGACGATACGACCGCACTTTTGCGTCTAGGGTATCAAGATTTTGGAGCCTTTTCCCAGTTCTACTAACCTTAAGCAGTTCAAAAATCGAATTAACAAACTTGGCATTTAGGCTTTGCCTGTGCAGCTGCTTCGATTGATAAAAAGTAATTTGAATTAAATTTGCAAAACCTCAAACACAAATTTTGAATTTTACAACAGACAGGTAGAATACTTTAATTCACTGATCAACAGCCTAAAAATATCCTAAATAAAATCAACAAAATCTATTTTTAATGTGCTAAAACCGGAATGAAACTTATTTTTTCAATATTAGTTCAAGTTTTAGAGATACGGTAATTATATGTGTTCCTGCTGTGACAGTGTTAATATACTGTAGTTCACAAGAATGCACGTGCTACATTTTTATATTCGGCATGGAAAGATGATGTAATCGGCATGATTGTGTTACGTTATACATACGTGTACATTATATTGTTTTATATTAGCCATTTTTTCCTCAGTTGGCTGACAGCGTTCATGCAAGATGTCTCGAAAGTGTGTAAACAATCCAGATCAGGTTTGTTACGTGTGTGGTGATGTGACTTTTGCGTCTCAGAGACGGTCTATTACTCCACTAATAACAAAGGCATATCAGCTTTATTTCGGTTGTAAACTAGGTGATCAAGACAAACAGTGGGCACCCCACATCTGCTGTAATACATGTGCTTCAAGTCTGAGGAGCTGGTTA